TTCACCAAAAAAATTAAATAAGTGGGAAATACGATGTTAACTGACATCTACCTTTCAACTCCAGGGCCGACATCGTGGTTCAGCTGGAAGATGCGAACACATTTGAACAAACGAAAATTACCGAAAAACCCTAATGGGGCTCATTTCAAAGCGTGGAACTACTTCTTTCCTGTCACAATAATCCGTCCAATGTACAATCAGAAAAATACCAAATATAAAGGGTGGAAAATAGTAGAGCGAATGGGACTCTTAGTAAGAAAAGAATTTCTATCCTTGCAGAAATTCTTCCCAAACATTCGAGATACCTTTAATCGCTTTTGCAGGTCATGATATCGATCATAACTCACGGATAAGGGTACAACCCGATTCCATATTTATATAACCATCGTATGATTTAAGTTTTTTTGGTGTCTTGGTCACTTTTTTAATATTTTGGACATTATTTGGCATATTTGTTTCTAAGGAGGTAGAAAACCTCTTCGCATAAAGTTTGAAATTTTCAGAGTAGGGCCCATTTTGGTCTTGACCATATTCATTAATTGATTTGGCTAAAAATTGTATTTATGCTACCCTGGGGTAGGGAACCATCATACAGATAATTGCCACACAGGAATTTATTTAAATAAAGTCCCCACAATGGAGTATCTCCAAGTCCACTTTCACATCTAATTGGTGGTCAGAAAAGAAAATTTTGTTTTCTATTGAATTTGTAACCCCCAAGAGAATATTGGTTGGGCCACGTTTTGGTATAACCCTTATATAAATGTATCCCTGATTTCAGCTGTGACCGTGGTCTTGGCCACGTTTTTCAACTGATTTGGCCATTATTTGCTGTATTTAGGCTACTTTGTGAGTAGAGAACCGTCTTACAGAAAAATGTCAACATACGTAAATATTTTGGTACAGTCCCCATATAGTCCCCAGGCCCGCCGATCTATAGTGATGTTTACCGATTGGCGGACAACAACGCGGGTATTGTTTAATCGTCATTGAATTTTACTATGAACAAGAACATAGACTTTTTGGGGACTCTAATGCGCAATTTGAGGTGCTATGGTAATGGGTGTAAAAGCGTAATTAACTTTGACTATTCAGAAATTATTTTGCCCTCCTTCCATAGTTATTTATTTCTATTTAGTCGAATCAATATTTATATTAAAATTTGTTCACCTTTATGAGCTAGATTTGTGAAATATTATGCTATGCTAAATTTGCATTAAAGACTAAAACTACGGGCCGGCAACGCGGACAAATCCGATGAGAAATGTGACAAAAATCGTCAAAATAACGAATTTCGAGAGGTACCGTTATATGGGTACTATACCAAAACGTGGACCATTTTCAATACCAACCATCCTATACACAGTACAAATTGTTCTGCTAAATTTTGAAGCTCTACGTCAAATAATATGGGCTGTATCGTAATTTAAATAAACAGACATACAGACGGAGTCTATGACGAACATTTAGGGATGTTACAAACGGAATGAAAAAGTTAATATACCCTTCTTTCCAAGGTGGGTTATATAATAAGCATTAAAGACTAAAATTACGGGCCGGCAACGCGGACCGGGCCAGATATTATTAATAAATAAGATTCCTAGTGGTCAATTACAAATTCGATTAGTTCCCTTCAATTTTCGGGATTTTGAAGTTTTCAGGCACATAATCCTACACCACTACCAAATACCTGCCGTATACCTTCGACGTTTTTCACCCCTGAATATGAACACGTGAATTTATATGAATGTTAATGAAATACGTCGAACGTGCAATTTTTCAAAGATGAACAATTTCAAGATTGACAGAACTAATATTTGTTTTTTGTTTGTGGAGAATAAAAAGGAATTTTAGGAAAAATGTGGATGTGTGCAAGGGGGGAAACGTTTAATTTGGAAGATTTATTTATTGGTTGAATTGTACTGCGATCTTACGAATCTTATTTATGTTAAGCCCTATTCTTTTGGCCAAGCAGGCACAGAGAATTTGGCTCGTTACATATTTCAACTTTAATTAGACATCCATCCAATTGGTACTTTAATCAACAGCAATTTTTACCTATGTCATGAAATGCTCCTTATCAAACTGAGGTAAAACCGCTGTGGTGTTGATTGACCTTTAATTAAATCGGAAAATTAAAAGCGAACAATAAGAAAAGAAGTGAATAATTCAACCATAAAACTCGAAAAACAAGGCTGAGACGTTTGGCTGACGTTTGTTCGCTTTTCTGCAAGACAACCTCTGTCATTCCAATTAACCTCGGAAGGAATTATTAAATTGTGTCTATGATGGCATTCCATCAAAATTCATTACACGGGCTAATTTTAATCCCCGGATTAACTTTCTTAGCCATCAACCCTCGACCTCCCTTAAACCCCTAACAAACGTATCATCTCATTACAAAGTTCGACTTCAACCTTCGATCTTTCGTGGAGACATTTTAACGGCAATGACATCCCCGAAATAGGTTTACTTGGCTCTGTGGTAATTTGACACTTTTTTAAGCATTTATTGTTTTAATCTTCGTCTCAAGAGCTAGATACTGCCCCTGTTTCAACAGAGCATGAAAAGGTTGCCGCCTTTCTGTTTTGTTAGAGGGAAGGAATTTCTACACGACAAAGGCATTAATAGGATGTGAAAAAGTGTCATTTTGACACTTTAGCGCACTCCAAGTAATGCCTGGACTCGACGTGGGTGTTCGCAGTCATCAGTAGTTTCCACTGCACTTCGTCCACGCACGATACCCAACATCACCGGCATTAGCATATTGAAATTGGAATAACAATCGTCAACCATAATGTGTCCTAACAAGTCCTCAAGGACCAACCAATAAATATGAATTCTACATGCTCAACATAAGTGCCCTGCATTCCGCTCTCCCTCCCTCCCACTCGGTGTGATAGATTACGCTCTGCGGACCACGCACACAAGTGGAGTGGTTATTTATGAGTTTGTCTCACAATTTGTTGTTTGTATAGGTGCCGCTTTTCATCTTTAAGAGCCACCGAGGACGATGTGGAGAAACGTCAAGTGGCTCACTTTTAAGTCCCATGCTACTTATCTTATCGCAAGAGCGGAACTCTATTTTGTTGTTTGTATAAACAAATTTTCGAAAATATTTAAATAAACACTTTCACTCATTTTACCAAATTTGTCGTTGTTCTTTTATATCGCTGGTGATTGACATGCTTCGAGCTCATGTATTTTCACAAACAAATCATAAAGGGTCTAGAAATCCGGAGCAATTGCCTGCAATGAACAGTTATTCGGCATGCCTTTGAGTTTTCTATTTCAATGAAAGTGTTCCGAAGTATTTGAAAAAGGATTTGATTCAAAGTTTCAAAGATGGTAAACATCTATCGTTAATTTTGTTGTTTCCCACAATTCTATTAAAAGCCCTTACAATTCTCTTGAATGGAACCTCATTATATGCTGGACAACTTGTATAACGAAGAGATAGACTAGGACAATAATACCAGGAGGACTGATCAAATTAATATTATATAAAAATAATAAAAAATGTATATATAAAATAATATATAATTATACTTATACTAAACCAAATAACAACAAAGGTAAAGAAACTAAACTGGGTGAGTGCTATCTTCACTATTTTGTGAATTACCAAAGTAGCCAGAGTTTGTTTCTGAAAATCTCTACACAATTAAAAAAATCGAGAAAATGCTTATCGGGGTAGAACATTTTAATATTTTGATCTAGATTACATTCTGAAAGTGTTCTTAAAACCTACCAATATTGCTTTTATTGTTCATTAATAGCAATCGATTTCTTACAAAAACTAAGGTATTTCTAACATTTTATAAGAAACGAAGTGAATGCGAAAAAAACATCCTTTGTTTTTCTTCAATTTATTTAAGTAAAATAGCGGACAATTTGTACTTTTCTTTAGCATTCCTTAAGTTCATCAATAACGGGAAAACTAAGTAGAAAATCGATTCATTCATGGTAGACCAACTAATAAAGGTAAGTGTTAACCTCATTATTTTGTGAACTACCAAAATAGACAGTGTTTGTTTTTCAAAATCTTTACAAAAAAAAGCAAGGACATCAATTAAAAACATTTAAATATTTTTAGAATCTAGATGTACGGGGTCGCAAAAATGTTACTACTTCTTCGGAACGGTGGAGAGGCAAGCACAATAGTGTCAATAAAAAGAGTTTGGCGGCAGACATGTTTAACAATTTAACAAATCAACACAACATTTCAATAAAACAAGAAATGCTTATGATCTAATTGGGAAAGGAGCTCGTCGACAGAATAACGCCGTGTCGTCAGTTCCCTTGCCCTTTGGACGATAACTAGATGAGGGAACGTGTTGGAATTTCAGTGAAACTTCTTCCTTTCAAAGGCAAACAAGAAGGCAGAGAGGAAGACAAAAGGAAACCACACAACAAACGTTTGCACATAATAAAAATATAAATTCGAAACATATTTACCACAAACTTCACCAGCATACGCATTGAAAAGGGACGGCATGGTGATGTGAGCGAGAAAGGAATAGTGACGACATTTTTAATTGTAAACGGATTTAAAAAGACTGAAACCAAACACACACACACACCCTCAGGCTCATAATATCTTCTACTGGTTAACAGTTAGCTGAGAACAGAGAACATCAAGCCATTGAAGGCTCTCACACCATTGTATTGAGAACCACTCTTTAGTTCACACAACTCCTCCTCCTCCTCTCACTCGTTATTCCAATTGGATTTGCAGCCAACAATTGAGTGTTTTTCAAACAAATAAATTGGCCACTCCTTCGTATTTCCAACTTGCCATCAGCCCTTCTCTTTCGCGCACCATGCTTCGACCATCTTACGATTTTTTTTTGACCCAACATATAGTTGTCCTTGTCGCACAACAAACTTTGTTGGCAGTCCATTACGCTCCCTTCGCTCTTCGAACAGAAACACAAACAAACAAACTGGTTCTCTTCTGCCTTTGTCGTATGGGCTTCTAAGCTGGTGCGGGTTTCTGACACAATTCAGTTCGTCGTCGTTTGTCTTACGTTAAACACAGCAACGCTTCAATACAGAACGTACGATTAAAACCAGTTTCAAAATACATATAAATAAATACTAATACAAAACCAACAACCAAATAAAAAATATTAACAAGCCGCTGGATATACAACAACGGCAAATAAAGAATATTTGTGATACAATTTTACAAAACACTTGCGGGCAACGGCGGTTAAACAAAACAAACCCCAAAGAAGAAATGCAGTTTAGTTGAGAAAATAATCCAACCTGCAATCTGCTTGACACGTAGAGAAAGAAAGAAAGAAAGATATTGTGATAGATACCTACCTACAAAAAAGGTGTGAAGTGAGTCCAAATTAAGAAAGAGTTCAATCGACTCGACAGGAAAATAAAACAGTGTCGTTATGTTGATCGGTTCGCATCCCTATCTGTGCAATCCAGCAGCAGGCGTTATGTCAGCCGACAACGTGCCCGTCGCGGCCGCAGCAAATCCCACAACTACAACAACAAACAGCAAGATCGCCGCCGGGTCTGCAACAGACTTTTCTATTGCAGCGATTATGGCCAGAGAAGACGCCTCTAGTCGGGAGTCATCCGTTAGAAGTGCCAGTAAGTTCAAATCCTCGATTTCGGTAAATCCGAAGCAAAAAAAATCAGATAACTCCATTCCATGACTCTACATTGAATTCATTAATCTTCCAAAGGGCATTCGTATAACTTACAGATGTAGCTGCCCTCTGTGGCTGGTTCTTCTTTTTTTTTCGAAAATCGGGTGAAGACATATCCATTAATAGAATGGTATTCCAAAGGTATTGAGAAATCGCTAATTAAGGCGGCGAAAATTGTGTAGCCCGCTAAACAAACTGGCTATACCCTCTCGAATTCGGACCAGTTAACGCCTATTAGCGTTCGCGTTTGTTAGCCAAAGAGACACATAAAACATTTTAATTAATACTGAAACGTTGTGAGGCATTGGCCCGACCGAATAACAAACAAAGTTACGTTTTAATTTCACATTTTTATTATCCCCTTCGAGTTTTTATTGATTTTTTAAATAGCCCTATCCGTCCGTCAAGATGTGCTAAAGAGTAATCGCAGATCATTAGAAACCAAAATGAAATCCCAACATACAATTTATGGAATATTAATGGCGTGTAGAGATCATTATCATTATGATGATGATGACGATGATGATGAATTGTAAAATTTAAACTTATTCCGTTTTTTGTTTTGTTTTTGCCCCCGCAGGTCCCATTTCCATAGAGGATGAAGTCGATGTTGATGTGGTCGACTGCAGTGATTCGGAAGAGCCACCATCCAAAACCCGCCGTCTGAACAATTCCACATGTAGTACCAACAGCACTGGAAACGTATCTCAAACCCGTCTAAATACCAGCACGGCCTCCAGTGTTGGTCGCTCTACGCCGCCTCAATCGCCGGCCAGTGACATCGACGGCGAGCGCTCTTCGCCCGAACCAGCTCCCAAAGCGCCCAAAATCGTGGGATCATGCAATTGTGATGACTTGAAACCAGTCCAATGCCACCTGGAAACCAAGGAGCTGTGGGACCGTTTTCACGACCTGGGCACGGAGATGATTATCACCAAAACTGGAAGGTAAGCCTCAAAAACAAAACGAGTGACAAACAAAAACCGTTGAATTCAAAAACAAGGCTCCCCCAATCAGTGAATGTGGCGAGTGCAAACTAACTGACAACGCAAACGAAGAGGATATAACAACGAAACAATGACGACGAATATTACGTTCATCATGCAATTGCGACATTATGGTGGCGCGGTACGTCGGCTACTTTGTTTCCATTCCCATTCTACATGGCCATTTCAGTAGAGTTTATTCTTGCTTGTCTGTCTCCCCGCAAAGCCGACTGGCCGCTCTGTCTGCGCGTTTGGCCACTACTCACTTTCGTGACAAATTGCGTTGTAATGTGAGTAGATTAACGCGTTTCGGGGTGATACATTTGCATGTGGGAACACATTTAATCCTTTTTTAATATCGCCAACGTCGCCGCCAGGGTTCTGAAACTAGGCGCATAAAAATGGTGTTTGCAGCCGTGTGTTTTCTAAACACCAATAAGAGATACAAATAAATCGAAGTCGAAAATGGGAAAACGGCCCTGAATCGTTTCTGCGAATATGTGTGAGGTCGTTGCTCTAATTGTGACAAAATACAACCTCTCCTTTAGAGCGAACCCAAAGACCCATACCAAATGACTTTTATTTTCCCAGCACAATGTAAGAAGGCTCCCAAATGTCTAAACAATTTCATCAATCTCTCTTCTCAGACTTGGTAACAATGGTTTGCAGGGATAGTTTACTTCTCAAAATCTGTAAAATTAAAGTAGGCGTTTGACTTGTCATCACACAAACATTCCACAATTCCTTTGTTGCCAACAAGGAACAAAACGTTGAAAATCCTTCGTTTCACAGCACAGCTGGACGCACCATAAATATTAAAACTAAACACTAAACATGTGTTTAAATATCACGCACAATCACACTATCTGTCACCTTCGCAGGAGGCCACACAAATTGACTTTTCGACCGGACGAAGGGAAGTTAAATAGCTGACTGGCCGTTCAACACCTTTGAGTTTGATTTTGTGGCATAAATCCCCAACTCCAGTGTAAAATGGTGACCTGCAAATCACTGCACTGTGCCTTCAGATTGGGTGGCCTGAATTGATTTAAAATAGGAATATGATATTTGTTTTGAGTAGCAGCAATCATTGACATTTGTTCTAATCAATGCCATGTTATTCTCTTATTTTCAGACGCATGTTTCCTACTGTCCGCGTAAGCTTTTCGGGGCCGCTGCGGCAAATACAACCGGCCGACCGTTATGCTGTTCTGCTCGATATTATCCCAATGGATTCGAAACGCTACCGCTATGCATACCACAGATCAGCGTGGCTGGTAGCAGGCAAAGCGGATCCTGCTCCGCCCGCCCGCCTGTACGCCCACCCTGACAGCCCTTTCAGCTGTGAAGCTCTGCGCAAACAAGTCATTTCCTTTGAGAAGGTCAAGTTGACCAACAATGAAATGGATAAAAATGGACAGGTAAGAATCTGTGGTCATTTTTTAAATTCGTTATTTCAAGAAATTACATTCGTGTCCCGGTGGTATGTTTGATTCAATTGCAAATTGTGTGTGTGTGAACGTGTGCGTGTGAAGCATTATTATTTGCCTCTCTAGCTCCACACCCTGAGCTAGATGAGAAGAGCCTCTAGTTCCTTAATTTGGTGGTGGATTCAAGACTTGTTTCCATTTCAGTGAATGAATTTTGTTTCGTTTCCCACACCAGTTTTTTCACTTTTCAATTTGTGGCAAGCGACGAAAAGCGCATGTCCATGCCAGAGGAATTTGTATTTCTCTCAAAAGAGGATTTGAAAGAAAGACTTAAGGGCCATTTTGTTTTTTTTTTTACTTTTTTCCATATTGCGATTTTAACATGGAATTTCTTTTTTTTTTTTTTTTTGCAGATTGTTTTAAATTCGATGCATCGCTATCAACCCCGCATACATTTGGTCCGGTTGAGCCACGGACAAAGCATCCCCACTAATCCAAAAGAGTTGCTAGAAATGGACCACAAAACATATGTTTTCCCCGAGACCGTGTTTACAGCAGTGACGGCGTACCAAAATCAACTGATAACTAAACTGAAGATTGATTCGAATCCCTTTGCCAAAGGTTTTCGCGATTCGTCGAGATTGACCGACTTCGATCGTGATCCAATGGAAGCCCTGCTGCTGGAACAACAGCTGAGGTCGCCCCTACGACTGTTCCCAGATCCTCTGATGCAACAGTTTGCCGCCCAACAAGGAGCTGACCCCACATCAATGGCTATATTCGAAAAGGCACGCCAGCATCTGCAAATGTTCGGTGGAAATTCGCCCTACGCCCAACTGATGATGCCCCAAATGTACGCTCAACAGGCACCACCTCCGCCCGGTTTGGGCGCCTTCCATATGTTCCAGCAACAATGGCCCCAACTTACCGCCGGCTTCCTAGCATCTGCCAATCAACAAGCCGTCGCGCAAGCCCAGGCTCATGCACAAGCCGCTGCCCAGGCCCAAGCACAAGCTGCAGCTGCTGCCGCAAATCGCACACCTCCCCCGCCACCTACAGCATCAACGCCATCATCTACCTCCTCAGGCTCACCGTCACCCGACATGAGGCCCCGACAATTTCAAAGGTTTAGTCCCTACCAAGTACCACAGCACCCATCTCAGCCACGAAGCCCCCCAAACCACTAAGGGCGTCGCATTGTAAGCCTGGGGTCTAAGGACCCTACGAAACCCTTGCCAAAACCAGTATTAAGAATCTAAACAACCCCGCCTCTCTGAGGAGGACTTTTGTTTCGACGTTTCACTAGAGTTATTATGTTTGTTAAATTTGTTTGTACAGTTCATGGTAATTGTAAATTTTTGTTTTCTTTTTACTGCTTCGTCCACCGCTCCCACTGCACCTAGTTTAATTGACAACCATTTCATCCCTAACTTAAGTTATTTAAGACGAAACTCTCCTGTACTCAGTGTAAATTTATTTCCTACGAAGCCCACGCTATGAGCACTCATTGTATTTTCGAATAGCTAATTTTAGAATACTTCCTTATTTTGAACTCTCACAGGAATACATATAAAACAAATAAATTTGTACATATTTAGCATAAGTAAATGCAGCTCAGGACGTGTGTTATAGCCCACCCCGCCCCAAACTCTATCGGGCTGTTGTTTACTGAGGGAGCTATAAACTGAACGTACTTATTATTGCCGCATTGAGTGTATCTACATAGGTTAAGTTCTTTGTGTTAGTTTAGTTCGTAGGCCATTAATTAAATATTTATAGCTCAAAAGAGCAACAAATCGAATGAAACAAATCTGTATATGCCGAAAAGAAAAACAAATGATACATGAATATTAAATCAAATTAAAAAATACAGCATGAATGGACACCATAAAAATCAAGGAAACATGTCTTTTTATTTCAATTCCAACAAATGCCGTGCTATGGGCCGGCGGCATTCCGCATGGCTGCGAGGTTTTTGTTTTCAGTGCAATGTACTTGGCATCCTGACATCCATTCGTTGCAGCCACTAAATCCTAAATATCCTGTGCTGCTGATGGACACCAATCGATACACTTGTCTCTTGTCGTTATGGGAATTGGAATTTCAATTCGTGTATTCGGTGTGAGTTCCTCACCGAATTTTCCGTCCCTTTTGTGTTGGGCATGCATGTAACTCGTACTGCCCAAGCAGCTGTGCACTGAAATGTGTGTATGCTAAATTTCATTGCGCTCCACAAAGTGCAGTGCAGAGCGGGGTTCGCTCATTCTGCTATGTTCACATGTTCACAAAATCTACAGAATGCACTCTACTTCATACCCACTGTTACACTCTCTTCACTGCACTTTGTTTCTTCGTTTCATTTCAGTTAATCACTCTTCTCACAAATGCTTTGTTTTTTCTTGTCTGGGGAAACGAATTCATTCATTATGGCCATTTACAAAGTGAAATTGTTTGCTGGTCGTCTTATGAGAGCAGCGGCATTCTCGCTCTCCCCTACATTCCCTCATCTGACCATATTTTAACGATGTGCTGATAGATTATCCCAAGTACATACTCTTCCGAACTAGGGGCAATGAATGGAGCAAGAGGCATAGTTGCATTCCGCATGCTTAATAAAATGGCTCACATGACGTCAATTATATCACCATATGTTTCGGACTTGTAACCAAAGCCCAGATGAAACGGCTGGAATTGCTTGAAGTTTTCCATACACATCAATATTGGAATATTATCGACGAATAATGCTGAATTAAAAAATATGTTCTCGTGGGTACATGGATAGTGCTAGGACTCTGAGATTTATTATGTAATTTCGTCCATGATAAACAAAATAGTACTCACTCATATAATTAATATGAAATTTGTACTAAATGCAATAGGTGTGTTCGCCAACTCAATTGTTAATGAATGCTGTTCGATCACTCAAAACGATCACTGAGAACGAGTAGAACAGTTGTGTCACCGACAGCTTGCTTGCATTAATTAAATATTCTGCGACTTAATTTTAGCTTTCTTAACAACTACAAAATGTGACGCTATTTTTCATTTCCAATATTTTGTGCGAGAGACCGAAGTCACTGAGCAATCATTACTGAAGAAGTTGAAGTACAACCTATGAAACTTGGCCTATTCATATGGGACCAAAAAAAGTAGTGAAAAATGTAAACGATGAAGGAAAACAATATGATGTTTTGCAAGAATTTACAAGGAATAATTATAAGGCGAATTTGTCGGCATGTCGACGAAAAATTGACGTAAATACTACTGCAGTAAAGTCAGTTCAAAACTTAAATTACACCCAAGTGTTAGTATTTTATAGATGGAATGTTTTGGTTAATGGCACTGTCGATATTTTTCAGACAAAGGCTGCCGTAAAAATTAACTCTAGGTTTTCTTTTTTCTACAGGATTATTTGCAATATACAGTTACAAGAGGTTGCGATTTATTTCCTTGGACACTCCTGGTCACTCTCAAACTTTTTTCCATAATACTGAAAAAGCAGTGCCGATCACCGAAAAAAAAATGGTTTCAGAGGCTCATGACTTCATTTATGGTTCCTACTCGTGCTTCAAAATGTTCAAACTTAAACTATGGCATAGTTTAACTTTAAGGGATGTATCAAAAACTCAACTCTCTACTAAAGTCTTATTGTGTCAATTTGATTTTTAAAGTATGCAACAATTGGCTTTGTTTATTTTAAACTTTTCACACAAACGTATGAAATTAAAAAAAAAAACAGCAACAAAACATGAACGGAAAGTTGGGGTCATTCCACAAAATCGAGCATTGAAATGAAGGACAATTTTGCTTTATAGCAAAACTACAAAATGTATTCCCCATTAATGTCGAGAACAATTTACAGCTGAATTTGAAATAATTTCAACATGTTTTCTTTATTTTTTAAACATTTTTATTGTGCCATGACTTAAACATTAAAAAAAAAAAATAGTACATAAATGGTTAAACTTAAAAATTCTGAATATCCGAAGGTTCTGTTACATGTGCGCTATAGGAAAATATCGGTGGGTACAGTTATATGGGGGCTATATCCACACGTGGATCGATATATAACACATTTTCAATACCAATCATCCACCATACAAATATAGTGGGCTGTATCGTGATTTCAACAGACAAACGGAAAGACAGACATCGTTGAATCGACTTAGAATTTTATGGTGATCCTGACTTTATATATACCTTAAGGGGTCTGTTTAATTTAGAATATACCCGCAATATCGTTGTGCATAGAAAAGCATATAATTGCCAAAAGTAATACCGTTACCAACCGAGCTAGCAGTAAACAGTTTAAATTGAATATTAGAAAAACTCTTGTGCTTTTATTTAACTTTTTTACTCGGTGTTTTGCTCCCATTAGCGGAGCCCCTCTGATCTAAAAAGGGTCTATGATGAATATTTAGATGTGTTACGAACGAAATGACAAATTTAATATACCCTCCTTTCCAATGTGAAGGGTATAATAAGCTTGAAATTAACAATTGATTTACCACTAAGGAATGTCTGACGTCGCCGACTATATACTGCCTTGGATCTCTGTTGAATGTGAACTCAGTGTGTGTTTCCACTGACATTTATGGATGTATTTGAAAGTTGCATAGGACCTTTCGTAAAAAAATTTAATTCTCAAATAATGCTACGATGACAAAGCAATTCCTAAACTCAAAATCGTACAAAACAATGTATGGAAGCTATAGCACAGTCTGAATCGATTTGGCTCAAACATCGTAGACTTGATTCCTGTGTAACCTTAATATCTTGATCTTTTGTTCCTGCCCCGATCCACACGATCAACTAATTTCTTATATACATGCAATTAGCCGGGAAACTTCCTTGGGCTAGATAGCGGTATGCGCTGATTATGAAGGTATAGGACATATTTTAAAACCGAAATAGCAAAGTCACACTAGAATGAACCGAATATTTCTTCGACGAGATGCAGATGAATCTTTATTTAAAATTGAATATGTGTGTCTAATTGGTGTGCCATCCACACTCTCCCCCAAATTCGTGGAAAAGCTAAAAGACATTCATTTTCGAAAACCCGAAGCGATTTAAATATTTTGTCAATTTTGACATTCGAACTTTGTGTCATTTTTCTTCAATGGTTGTGAGGCGATTTTTAACACTCTCCCACATTAGTCTAATCATGACAAGAAACGGGGCAACAGAGCGGAACGTTTTCAGCGGAAATTATCAGGTGGCAAAGAATATTGATTCGATATTTTCTCGAACACACACACACACCCTACCCTTATGTTGACATGCTTGCGTCTGCTTTAACCATAGGCATGATTCTCAGTACGAATACGTACTAATGATGAATGGGCACAGCCCCACACATTTTTAGCGGCCTTACTTTGTATAACAGACACTCAGTTTATTTTCAAATTAAAAGGAAATCTTTTACTTGCAAAGAAAAGATGTAAAACGAGCAAATTTTATGATTTTCCTTGTTGGAGGGAGGGGAAGAGAAGAAACCATTTAATGACTAGTATGCGCTGGCTGTCACATGCAAATGACTTCACGAAAATAGAACTTCAAAGCGCCCAAGGAGCATATCTCTCTGCGATCTCCACAGCATTGTAGGGTGCGTGCGGTTGATTGTGCCGACAATTAGATAACACCAAACGTTATCATTCCTGTTCGGAACTCAGACGGATAATTGCTCAGCCGCCTTAATCAATTTGCTCCTTGTCCAGTTGCATTAATGTGTTTCCTCCATTGTGTCCATAGGTAATCAAGATGTTATCGGCCAGCTCGTGTGTATTTGTTTTACATTAAAGCTAATTACATTGGCTAGGTCGATTAAAAAAAAACACCAGAGAAATGTGTAATGACCCAAAAAATCGAATGCGAGTGCGTGCCTAGATGTAAGTGAGTGACTTCACAATATCTAAGCCAAGTGTGGAAGAATTAGGATCACCCGAATGACTACATAGTTCAGATTGTCATCAGAAGAGATATGACAGCAAAAATGCGTAGTTCGTTTAATTGACAATATTGCACAGCAAAAACGTTAAATTTACACTTAGCCCCGTGATCCGATGAATAGACAGTTTGAGCTCCCTAGTGCTACTTGGTGAGGTGTTTGGTGAAGAATAACCGATCGGAAATATTTTGTACTTCTCATTTGTTTGCTTGACCTCGACTTTAAAATTTCAACCAAAGGTAAACGAAAATATGTGCATGGTGCAATGAAATCAAGGAAGGGTCCTGAAACCAATCGATTTTAATATTGCCCTCAGCCATACGACTAGCGAAGTATATATCATTTACTACGGCCAAAACGTCGAAATAACGGTTTTAAACCATAGGTCTCTTTTGAACAAAACCGTTTCAGAATAATTGGAGTCGATCTAGCGATGTTCGTCCGTCCGTCTGTCTGTTCGGAAAATTGGTATATCGTAATATTCGGTCCACCCATTCCGGTCCACTCACCATGATATGAAAAAACTGCTACCAACTTCAGACTGCTGTCATTTCGAAGCCACTCGTCAGACAGCTGTTAAAATCATTCCGGTGACAGCTCATTATATTGTTTATAAGCGAACGAAAGCATTTTGGTGAGAATTTTCCATAAAAAAAGTTATTCGTGATGGGATTCAAGCGTGATAGTGTGATTTCTTTATATTTGGCTCGAAAACCACAACTGGCTATCGTTAGAGCACTCCAGCATTTAAATGTGAATAAATCTTTTGTGTCCCGTACCATTGCTCGTTACCGCGATACAGGTAGCGTAGCCTGACGTCAATGAAGTGGACGGAAGAAAACAGCAACATCAGCAGAAATGGTTCGAAAAGTAAAGAGGTGACTGCGAAACCCGCGTCGCAGTTGCCGAAAATGGCTCGTGAGCTGAACATATCGCAATATTCCATTCGGCAA